TCATGTTCCTCCCATCAAAGCCAAATTAAAACTGAACGCTTGATTACGTTGTAGGGATTATAATTATTTTTATTAACAAAAACAACCAAAAAAGAGGGTGAGTCAGACCTGCGCTATAAACATATTACGTTACGGGTGACGAATTTCTCAATTATATATTTGTTATTTATTATTTTATTAATAATCAAATAATTTAATTTCGATTGGTTTCCAAAAATTACGCACCATTTTGAGTAATTAGGGTTTAAAAATTGATTTTAATTTGTGTTATTTTCTAAAGACGTTTTGAAAATGAAAACTTAAATAAGAAACCTTTTTATATATACCTATAGGTACTTATTGGTTGATATTTTTGTTGAAAATATTTAACACAAAAATTATAGATATATACAGTATTTGCGACTTAACCCTGTAAAATCTTTATTTATTGGGATTTTAACGGGATTTGTTTTAAAGTGTAGATTTTGATAAACTGTATTTTTGGAGCAGAAAACGCCATATTTGTTCAAAATACAATGCCTACCATGTCAATTTTTAAGAATTCATATTGGCGATTTTTTTAAACAAAATCTAAGCTCGGCACTGGATTCACCACCCCTCAAAACGACCCTAAATTAAATTTTATTGAACAATTTTATGTAGAAAAATGTACAATAATAACTACAAAATCTTATTCTGTCAAGTTATCCATGCTACTATTACTTGCTTAGATTTTGTTTAAAAAATCGCTAATATGAATTCTTAAAAATTTACTCTAAAAAACTGACTTAGTAGGCCTTGCATTTTGTACTAATATGGCGTGTTTTGCTCCAAAAATACAGTTTATTAAGAAATACACTTTAAGACAAATCCGGTTAAATTCGCACAATAAAAGATTTTACTGGGGTGAGTCGCAAACAAATGGGTCACACTGTATATACATATATATATATATATATATATATAAATATATATATATATATATAAATATATATATATATATATATATATATATATATATATATATATATATATAAATATATATATATATATATATATAAATATATATATATATATATATTTATATACATATATATATATATATATATACAGGGTGTTTCATAATATATGCGCAGGACTTCAGGATGTGATAGCTCATCCAAAAAGATGAAAAAAGTCGCTATTAAGTTACGCTCTAAAATGCACAATTTTCCAGATACAGGGTGTTGAAATTTTAGAAAAAAATTCGTTTTTTTTCGAATATCTCCGGAACCGTTTATCGTACAAAAAACAGCTTTTGTAAGCATTTTCTACTCAAAATAAGCTATGTTTTGTGCTAGAAAAACAATTTTTTTCCTCATAATTGGTGGAGATTTTGAAGGGGTAGCGGGTGTTTTTCTCCTCAACTTCTACGCCCCTGAAAAAAGTACGGTTTTGAGAGGCCCATTCGAACCGCCAATGTTTTCTACACAAAAAAGGTACTCCTGGTCATAACCTCTAAAGTTGACGGTTTTCGAGAAAAATCAACTTTTATGTTTAAAAACATGGTCAATTTAAAAAAAAAATATTTTTTTTTACTAATTAAACAAAATTTATTTTAACGTTAGGACAAGTAACAAAACCAAACCATAATTGCAAAATAAAAAATGATTTAAAAGTTGTCTTTGCCTAATTCTCCAAACCGTAAAGGTAACGCATTTCGCACATTTCAGCATTTGAGTAAAAAATCATTTTTTATTTTTTTTTTTTAATTTTGCAATTATCGTTTGGTTTTGTTACTTTTTCTAACGTTAAAATAAATTTTGTTTAATTAGTAATAAATTTTTTTTTTCAATAAATTGACCATGGTTTTAAACATAAAAGTTGATTTTTCTCGAAAACGGTCAACTTTAGAGCTTATGACCAAAAGTACCTTTTTTCTGTAGAAAACATTGACGGTTCGAATGGGCCTCTCAAAACCGTACTTTTTTCAGGGGCGCTAAAGTTGAGGAGAAAAACACCCGCTACCCCTTCAAAATCTCCACCAATTATGAGTAAAAAAAAAATTTGTCTGGCACAAAACATAGCTTATTATGAGTAGAAAATGCTTACAAAAGCTGTTTTTTGTACGATAAACCGTTCCAGAGATAATCTAAAAAAACGATTTTTTTTCTAAAATTTCAACACCCTGTATCTCGAAAATTGTGCATTTTAGAGGGTAAGTTAATAGCGACTTTTTTCATCTTTTTGGATGAGCTATCACATCCTGAAGTCCTGCGCATATATTATGAAACACCCTGTATATATATATATTGATTTTAAACAACAAAAAACTATTATGCTTGTTTATATACAGGGTGTACGTACTCATAGACATTCATCATTTAATTTTGTTTATAATTTTTTTATACTGAGTGTTTGTAGAATTTAACAGTTGCAGTTAGCTACAAAAATATTATATTTTGTTTTTATTAGATACAGGGTTTACTCGGGGTGTTTACGCAATAAATTGTTACGTGTTTAAATCTGGTTAGTGCTTATTTTATTCGTTTCCTTTGCGGTGTTTCCTGTTTAGTATTTTTGTTAACATTCAGTACTTTAGTAGTACGTTGCCGACCCAATTTGTTGTATGAGGTTTCTTAGTTTGTTAGTACCATTACCTTATTGGATCTTAAAAACTAAGTGGCGCCTAGGTATTTTTGATTTTATTTATCCCACCCCTTCTTCACTGTAGCTACAGGGGCTAGGATCCAATAAGTCGCTGAGGGTTTATTATACCTTTAGGGCATCGTACTACGAGTAGCGAATTTTGCGTCACAAATTTTTGGCACCCAAATTAATGATTTTCGACGAATAATTAAATTGGCCCTCTGCCCCCCTTAACTAAGCCCATAGAAATAAATATTGAAAAATAATCTACAGTTCATTTTTTTTTCATAGTCAAGTCAGTAGCTTGTTTAACCTTAAACAACAGGTAATTTAGCCTAGGATTTTAGTTATTTAGAATCAAAAGTATTTTTAATTAAAAAAAAATATTAACTATATTTATTATACAGGATAAGTCATTTAACTTGATTGAAATATCTCAGTTAGTATCCCTGATAGCAAAATTTGATTCTAAGAATCTTCTAAGAAGATATGACCCGGAATAATGGAATATTCTTAGAAGCTTCCCTTATTGCTAAGAATGTTCTTAGGGACTTTTAAAACATTCAATAGATACCCTTTTAATGATGCAATTAGATTCTTAGAAGCTTCTTAAAACCTTCCTAAAAAGCATTTTAAGAAAAAGTTTTTGGAATGTTCTTAGAAGGTTTCTTATGGAGCTTCTAGGAAGAACATTTCCAAATATGTCAGATACCCACGTCCTAATATGTTGGATTCTACATTCGTAAAATTCTTCAGGAGGCGACAAATAGGCCTCACTGTCATAATATGACAGTGAAATGTATTTGTCGTCGCCTTAAAAAAATTTGCGACATATTAATTTATATATTTATTTAAAAATATTAATTAAACAATTTGACCTCTAAACCATAAGTTGTATGACATTATTTCATGAAAAGTAAAATTGGAAAATTTTGTGGGATAAGTTGGATTAGATTGAAGTTGAAGATAGTTAGGATTATTACCTATACATAAAAATGTTAATTCAGATATAAAAAATCGATATACAAATTAATAAATATTTATTTTTAACATAAAATAAAATATAAAAAAACAAAATATTTCCTTATAAAATAATTCTTCATAAAAGAAAAAACCAAATATTTCTTCATAAAAAAACATTTTTCATTGTATTTAAGTTGGATAGAAGATTTTATGTAAAAGCCGGATAATTTAGATACCTATAGTAAAAGTATTTTTGTTATCGAATATTGTTTTAATTTGACAAAAAACTATAAAAAAATATTTTGGGTTGTGTTTTTTACTTAGTATTTAATACTAAGTATAGGTACCTAACTGAACTGAATATGCTTAACAGAATGTTCCAGGAATATTCCTAAATGAACTTTCTATAGCAATTACTTTCTCAACATTCTAAGCATATGTTTAGAGTGGATTAATTTTTACCACTAAACTTTGCACCTTCTAAGAACCTGCCTATAGGCCAGTGAGAATACTCTTAGGATTATGCTATATTTATTTAGAAGAAATATAGCATGATCCTAAGAATATTCTCACTGGAAGGTTAAAAAACATTCTTAGAACATGACTAGAAGAAATATAGCGTGATCCTAAGAATATTCCCACTGGAAGGTTTAAAAAACATTCTTAAAATAAACTGTGCTATCAGGGATTGTACTATTTTTAATAAAAATACCTCGTTTAAGGTAAAAAAACATTATTTTGTCAATTAATTAATTTAATCCTAATTGGGGTATAAAAAAATGGTATTTAGTTATAAATAATAATTATTATTGAGGTATAAAGAAACTATTTATAGTTTAGCGTTATTTAATCAATTTAGTTCATAGATTAATTTGCAAACAAAAAGACCTCCTTTCGTTAAGCAGTTATTCATAATGGATTTTTTAACAGTGGAAGAAAAAATAGAAATGATTTTGATTTACGGAGAATCTTGATGATGCTGTTAATATCTACGCACAGCGTTTTTCGGATAAAATTCGATCACGTACTTCATTTCACCGTACAGTCCAGCAGTTTACTACAAACGGGAGTGTTCAACCGAAAAAAAAAGTTCCCCCTCAAATTTTTATTTTAACTTTTTTTTCGTAAAATGCATACTAACAGATATTTCAAGTTTCAAGTTAAATGACACACCCTGTATAAAGAAAATAGAAATTATATGCATTATTTTTATTTACAAATATTATCTTTTTATAATTGCGATAAGATTCTTTAAATGTGCCCCCTCACGAGATTATTGCTGATCAAATACATAGTTATTAGTTTATTTTTATAGACAAATTGATTAAAATTTTAAATTATTGACCCAAATCCCCCCTCTTCGAAAATCGAACACAATGATGATAATTTATGAAAATATATCCTAATAATGTATACATCTTTAATTAAAATATCACTTGACCAGTAGACTCTGCGACCTACGTTGTTATCTTAAAATGTAAAATTGAATACTATTTCATTTATTTATAACAGTCTTGGCATCTGCATCAGTTTTAACGAGACGTGCACATCAACAAACCTCTAAAAAGTTCATCTCTTGTGAGTGTAAATGTGAAAATCGGTGAACTAGCTGAGTGGCCTTTGTGAAAAAACAACATATATCTGATATGGTGGTAAGTAGACAACCTTATAAAGAAAAATTACCACTTGTTGCTAATGATTCCCAACCGTAATATTTACCTTCTGAAATACGCAGATTCTTTATTTTTTTCTGCGGAAAAATCTGGTTTCGAGCTATTTTAGGTATAGCAAATTGGACTTGAGTTAATTAGGTAGTTATAACGTGTGTACGCAGTTATATTCGGCTTAGTGCCAACTTATGTTTTCCATTATGCCTATTTGTTAATCGAGGTCGTAGTCCGCGCTTATGGACATGAATTTTAATACCTTCGACAACAAAAAACGACGCTGTTACATATGTAATTGGACAAGTTAAAAATAATAAACAGGAACCGCTATTTGTTTGTAATTATTATCTTACTTATTAAGTTTTAATGAGTCACGATACATAATTTTGTGTTTAATGGTTGTTGTAGGTATAACATTAAAAATTTGATAATAAAATGCAAAATTATACCTTTTAAAGAAAATAAATAAACCACATAGTTATTGGATACTTAAGGAATATTATTTATTTAAAATATATATATGCCGTTGTTTTAAAGATATTAGTATACTTAAAAATAAGAATATTTGAATTTTTAATAATAATTTTATAAAAACATGCAAAAAATTATAGTAATTGGACATTTTATATAGTAATTGGAGACATGGACCATAGTTAGTGGACATACAATTTGTATATAAACATAACAACTTTACATCAAATAACATAAATTGTTAAATATTTTTTAAAGATAAATTGCTGTTTTAGGTAATTTTTTTTTATTTCGTTTTTGTAAATATCATATAATTCATATATTTCTTTCTCGGATTCCTCATCCCTTTTCTGGTTTGAGAAGCATTTATAATGTTTAGGCCGGAACACGGTGATTTATATACATATATCTTATGTTAAAAGTATTTTCCGAATTTATTAATTTTGTTGACATTATTTTTTAATGGTCTCTATCATGCACTGCATTTAATTCACTGTTATTCTGCAAGATGTCCTGTGACGAAGAAATCACTATATTACTTACTCTCTAAAAATGAATTAGTCAAATATGTCATAGCGAAAAAGCAGCCACTAATAATTCTCGTCAACAGCAATTTGTATCCAGGACATTTAGCAGTCAATTCCTATGAAGTCAATTCGCTGAATCCGAAAATGTCGTCAAAAGTTATAAAAGTAGAACAGTTTTTTTAACATAATCAATTTTACATATAATATGGAATAGACTATATCTCAAAAACTGCTTAACTTTTATAGTTTTTGACGGTCTTTTCGGATTCAAGGGACAATTTTACATAAGAATTGGCTGGTAAATGTCCGGGATACAAATAGAGTATGATATTGGACATGTCCAATAATAGAAATTTACATTTTTTACTAACCAGTAATTGGACACTGGTCATTTTACTCTTTGTTTTTAGAATTAAAATTAAAACGCATTACAGTGACAATGTTTAAACCATGAGGAGATTTTATCTAATGATTTGACTTTAAGGTAACTATTTATAGAACTCTTGTTTTTACAATATTAATGTTAATTGTCCGATAACTGTCTACTTTACCCTATTAAAGTAAAATAAAAAACAAATTTTATTTTTTAACCTTTCAATTATCATAAAATAATCAAATTTCATGATAAAGCATAACAAACAATAAACAAAAATTGTATAAAAAAATATTTAAAGGATTTTAGTTAAAAAGTTAAAAATAAAATCAGCAATATATTTTACATATCAACAGACTAAAAACTGCAGTTTATCAAAATAATTTCTAGAAACGCGGAAAATTATTAAACAAGCTAATCTAAGCAAAATAATATATCATAATATAAACATGTTACATATAAATTAGATATCCACCTTATATTTATTTATGTAACAACTTCCGTTATAATTATATTATAACCCAAATTCAAAACAAAACCTCAAGGTATTTTCGGCGTATCTGACCCACCGTGTCCCCCAAAACCTACTTCCTGCTCTTTAAACAAACAATCAAGAGCTCGTAGGTTCGATGGGAAAAAAGAGCAGCGACAAATCCAATGGGTTCTTTATAATGTTCCACTCTCGGTCGTTTCTGTGAGGGTCAAGGAAGTCGTGCAACAGGAACAAGTGCTCGGTCGCCGAACTTCCGCACAGTGGGCAAAATTCAAGAATTAATAGGACAAATTTACATAATTTTATTTTAAACGGTATTTAAGATAAAATGATAAATAATAATACACGAATGATATAATTAACTTTATCAAAAACTGTTAAAAAAAAATTATTTACATATGTAAATTATTTTTTTTATTTAATATACAAAAACATGATATAAATTGCTATAAAAAACGTTTTTGTAAAGTAAACAAACAAAAAAAGCTCAAGGATTCGGTTTTGTTATAACGCAATTTTACTAAAATTAACTTTTTTATAAATAGGTAGTTTTAGGAGTATTTTTATCACAAGGATTATTCAATACAAAAAACAACCTAATTTTCAGTAAATACTGACTGTAAAATCTTTATTTATTGTGCGATTTTAACCGGATTTATTTTAAAGTGTAGATATTGATAAACTGTATTTTTGAAGCAAAAAACGCCATATTTTTACAAAATTCAAGGCCTACTATGTCAGTTTTTAAGAGTAAATTTGTAAGAATTCATATTAGCGATTTTTTTAAACAAAATCTAAGCCCGGCACTGGATTCACCACCCCTCAAAACTAAATTTTATTGAAAAATTTTAAGAAAAAAAATGCACAATAATCACTATAAAAATTTATTTTGTCAAGTTATCCATGAAAAAAACATTGAAATAAAATTAAACTACCCTGATAGCAAAATTTGATTGTAAGAATCTTCTAAGAAGATATGACCCGGAATAATGGAATATTCTTAGAACCTTCCCTTATTGCTAAGAATGTTCTTAGGGACTTGACAGTGAAATGTATTTGTCGTCCCCTTAAAAAAATTTGCGACATATTAATATATATTTATTTAAAAATATTAAATAAACTATTTGACCTCTTAACCATAAGTTGTATGACATTATTTCATAAAAAGTAAAATTGGAAAATTTTGTGGGATAAGTCAGATTAGATTGAAGTTGAAGATAGTTAGGATTATTATACATAAAAATGTTAATTCAGAAATAAAAAAATCAGTATACAAATTAATAAATATTTATTTTTAACATAATAAAAAATATAAAAAAACAAAATATTTCCTTATAAAATAATTCTTCATAAAAGAAAAATCCAAATAGTTCTACATAAAAAAAAAACATTTTTCATTGTATTTATGTTGGATAGAAGATTTTATGTAAAAGCCGGATAATTTAGATACCTATAGTAAAAGTATTTTGGTTATCGAATATTGTTTTAATTTGACAAATAACTATAAAAAATTATTTTGGGTTGTGTTTTTTACTTAGTATTCAATACTAAGTATAGGTACCTTTATACGTAGATTATGGTATATTTTACTATTATATAGGTACCCAACTGAACTGAATATGCTTAACAGAATGTTCCAGGAATATTCCTAAATGAACTTTCTATAGCAATTACTTTCTCAACATTCTAAGCATATTTTTAGAGTGGATTAATTTTTACCACTAAACTTTGCACCTTCTAAGAACCTGCCTATAGGCCAGTGAGAATATTCTTAGGATTATGCTATATTTCTTTTAAGCTTGTTCTTTAGAAGAAATATAGCATGATCCTAAGAATATTCTCACTGGAAGGTTTAAAACACATTCTTAGAACATGACTAGAAGAAATATAGCATGATCCTAAGAATATTCCCACTGGAAGGTTTGTCTGCAATTTTTTTGAAGTTGAACGCATAATATAAAAATGCACCATTTTCTAAAAAAAGTAAAATAATAAATTAAAAAAAAAATTCTTTTTCTATTTAATAAATTTAACAAGAAATATTAATAAAAATACGTAAGTATACCAAAGATACATTTTATTTCAAACCGTTTTGAAAATAACAATAAAAAACAATCTTCATTGTTTTTTATTTTATGTTTTATCACGTTTTATCTTAATTTATTCTCATAATCCAACGTTTTTTGTATTATCTTGTACTATAAGTATACTTCCAAATTCAAACGTCACAAACAGAAAGCTTCATTCAGAACCTCGTATACGTAATTAGTGGTTTCAATTAACGTCAAAGTTTGTTTCATGAATATACACTTGGTGGTACTTTTCAATTAGTGGAAAAAGTTTGCGAACTCCAAACTTTGCCACAAATTATAATTTGCGCATGCGCGCGGGCATTATGTCAAATTTAAAAAGTTTGTAAACAAATATTATTCTAATACACTCACAGGCAAAATAATCGCACAAATCGCACAAATTTTCGATGAATTTCAATCGATGAATTTCAATCGCAAATAACTTATTTGATGTCGGATTTAAACGAATATTAAAGAATATTGTAGATAAATTAATGGACAATCGCTCACATTTTAAAAAATTACAAAAAAATAGACGTATGTTTATAATATACAGATGTTTTTTACGATAAGTTTAAGACACTCTGTAGAGTGGCAAAACCGTATATTGTTCTAAATTAAGTTTTATTTATCAAGTCACATCTACTCTTAACTTTGTTTTCGGTTCACCTCGATATATTTATTTTTGTGGAAAATATGGATTTTTAAAAAAAACATTGCAATTTCCAATATTTTTCTATATGAAGCACTAAGGTTGCTATGGTCCACCCATAGGCTATGGAGTATGACAGTGACAGTTTTGTTGAATCATCCCATACTTGGACATGTCATAAATTAATGTTTAAATTTTGAGGTGTCTTCTTACTTAAAAAAATGGATATGTCTCTGACTGATGTTGCCAGAGCCATTAATTTAATCCAGGATGGACGGTCACAGTATTACTTGGCAAGTATTTTAAACGTCACAAGAAGTAAAGTACAAAGGGCAACATCAGTCGGAGACATTTTTAAAAGTAAGAAGACATGAACGTAAAAACCTTTTTTGTCAAA